TGTGATTCGATTAGAGAACATTTAGTTCAGGTAGTAATAATAAGTGCAACATCTCGCAATGAGATGCGACGAGCTGAACAAGGCAACAGATTATGTAGCGCATAATTTTTCGTGTAACAATTCGTTGTGTGGCTTTTTCTTCGGGGATTCGTTTTTTTTTTAATCGGTATTGCGAGGATGCCTCTAGGTGAGCGGTCGGCATGGTGCGACTGGTCAGAGCAGATTCTATTTTATTAGATCGATAAGGAAACATTGAAAGTAGTTGTAGGGAAGAAGAGAGTTGACGGCTGTAAAGAATTTAAAAATCAAGCAGTTCCACCATATATTTAACATTTGCTCGTCCGGTTGTACAGTACAAGTGGATTATATCCGGTGTTGCTCACGAGCGAAAAAAATCGAGGAGGGAGGGGCAGTTTAGTTCAACAAAATTCAAATGCAGTCACTGAGCAGTTGTATTCCATGTCTTTCTGAGGAACTTTTGAAGGAACTTTCATTGAAATTGGTGTGTTGCGTAGAACGTGTTCATGTAATATTACTAATTAGTGGAAATTGATATAAGCAAAAGTTAGGTGCAGCCATACGTATAGTCATAAACACACTCATGAGAATGTTGAGGATTACTTGTTGGTATTTTGACTGTGTCGATTGTGTGAGTCTCTAATTGCAGTGCACTATAAAAAGATTAAATTTCAGGAAGAAGCTGAACAGTATGGTCGTCATGAGGAAGTTGAGGAACTACAACGTCAAATTGATGAACTGGAAAGTCGAGCTTCTGAATTGGTTTGTTTTCATCACTTGTATGTGACGGTTTGTAATCTTCGTGATGCTGTTGTTGATGAAAATATATCAATTACTCCCATTCTGTTGATGTATATACTTTAAGAACATCATAATTTTCATTTACTGTTAATAATTTTTTCAATTTCTTTTATGAGCACCCACTGAAATGAACTGAAATCGATAAGTACAGTTAGGTGAATGGAAAGTGGGTACTTTAGAATTATGGTTATATTTTATATGTTAGCATGTTCAATCTGCGTTATTGGTAATTTTTATCATTATTGGCCATTGCTGGTCGTCAA